GGGTGCTTAAAAGGCCAGCACCCACTCAGGCCCCTGCAGGGTGCCTTGATTCTCGTGGGAAACAGCACACCTGTCAGGATGATACTCTTTAAGTTGTTTGGACCTCACTGCTTATTAAAAGGAACTCTTTGGGGTTTATTTGCGGGGATAGGGGACTAGGTTTCCATGAAGTGTGAGAGCTGCCCTACGACATTCAGCCAGCCCCTTTCCTCGTGTGTAAATGAGGTGGTTGGAGAAGAGGGTCTCTGCCTGTCTGCACATGTAAACAGCAGCAGGCTCAGCTCCATGGCCTCTGCCCCTCTCCCACCCAACTGTGGGGTGTGTGTGTGTGTGTGTTGCTGTCCCTGTGTAGAAGGGGACAGTTGCCATTTCTCCGTAGACACCTTGGCCTTGGCATCATATGACTAGTGGCCTCTTAATCCCCATCTGTTCAAAGCTGACTCATCTCTGACTTCCATGCGAACTTGCCTACTTTCTGGTCAGGCAGGTGGCAGAGCCTCTTCTCTGCCTTCACGCCGGTAACAGAGCTTGCCTTCTGCAGCACTGCAACGGCGTTGACTGGCGTCAGAAACTGGACTCTCAGAGAGGTGCCGTCATTGCCACGGAGCTGAAGAACAACAGCTACAAGCTGGCCCGGTGGACCTGCTGTGCTTTGCTGGCCGGATCCGAGTACCTCAAGCTCGGGTGAGGCTTCTGCCCAGGAGTTGTGACTGGTCTGAAAGGAGTCGTCTGTGGTTGGGGACGTGGAGGCTGGCCTTTTCCTTAAGTATCAAACCAAGTGTCACTCATTGACATTCAGCTGCCAGCATGGCACTCGCTTAGTGCCATCCTGCCCCACCACTAATGTCCCTTTGTCCCCACTAGCTACGTGTCCCGGTACCATGTGAAAGACTCCTCACGCCATGTGATCCTGGGAACCCAGCAGTTCAAGCCCAATGAGTTTGCCAGCCAGATCAACCTGAGTGTGGAGAACGCGTGGGGCATCCTGCGCTGCGTCATTGACATCTGCATGAAGCTGGAGGAGGGCAAGTACCTCATCCTCAAGGACCCCAACAAGCAGGTCATCCGGGTCTACAGCCTGCCCGACGGCACCTTCAGCTCTGATGAGGACGAGGAGGAGGAGGAAGAGGAGGAGGAAGAGGAAGGTTGGTAGCCAGCCTTTGTGACGTCTGTAGAGGGCTGTCGGTTACAGGGCTGTGTAGCCACCATCATCCCTAACCTTGACTTAAAGATTTTGAGGGTTTTGGGAGATTGGGATGCTTGGGGTAGCAGGCCCTTTTCTTCAGGAGGCTTTAGGTCCTATGGGGCTGGGGGAGGGGAGTGGGCTTTTAGAGAAGCATCTGGGATGGGAAAGAAGCATCTGGAGAAAGGCAGTGAGCGTCCCTGAGGAGCGGCTGCCATTTAGAAGGCAACGAGGTCTGCACGTTAGCTGCACAGGTAGAAGCTGGTGACTGGGAAAAATCCTGGCCCTGAGAGGGTCTGAAAGGCTTGACTCCAGAGTGCAGGTGTTGAAAAATTTCATTCCCCAGAGGTTTTGAAAGGGGGTGAGCATCACTTCACACAAAGTGGCTCATTCCTCAAATGTATCTCTTTCAGAGGAAGAGACTTAAACTGGACGGTGATGTGGACCTGGAGCTGCAATTCCACTGAGCCTGGAAGGGCCTGATGTGTAGAGAGACGTTTGCCCAACTCTGCTCTCTGCAGTTTGACAGAAAGAATAAAGTTATCAGTCCGTTTGGTCTCTTTCCTTCATTGTCTACCTAGATTAGTGCCTGGCCAGCCCTTCCTCCTCCTCTCCCATGTAGCCCTTGTGAGACACAGCAGTTTCTGTCTGGAGTTCGTAGGCTTGCTCTTGAGCATGGTGGGTTTTCAGTCGTGTTCAAGGGTGACCGCCTGGGAATATTTTTTCTTGGGACTCTTTGAAATGGTTCCTTCGCAGGCATAGTGGGCCCCGTGAGGAGTCCATTGACACAAGCACCTGCTGACCGCAAGGACTGCTGCCCTTAGACACCCTCCCGTGTCGGGGACATGGTGACGGGAAAGATGAAGCAGGCACAGCATTTGCCATGGACGTAAGCTTGCTGCTCACGAGGGAAACCGTCTCCGATTTTGATGGATGTTCTGCCTAGTGGTGGTTTGTAAGTTGCTTGGGCTGCCAGCACCCAGAAAGCAACGTGTTAAGAACGTATCGGAATTATACATATTTAGCACGTGAGCTGCTTAGTAAGTATTTTCATCACCTTCCCCAGGCTTCATTTCTCTACTCTGCCCCCTACTTTTATATGACTTACATGGGGCCAACCTGATGACCAAAAACAGTCCTGTGCTCACACACCTCAGTAAAGCTTGCTCCCCACAGTCCAGGATCAAGGCTCTTCACACTTTATGAGGTCCCGCCTAACTTTCTGTACTCACTAAATGATACCAGCGACTGCTTTAGATACAGTATCTGCCAGTGCCCACACTCATCATCTTCACAACTACTAAGCAGCAGCCACCACTATCTTGCTCCAACGATGGGCTCAAACAGCAAAGAATGAATGGCTCAGGACGAGCCAGCGTTTCTGTTGTATATAGAGGTGCTGTAAGTTGGGACTGACAGCATCTAACAACATCCCTGTGACAGACAAGCCAGGTTCCCTTTGGTGAGGTATTTTGCTTAGTGCCTCGGGTTACAATGTGTATTCAACAAATGTTTACCAAGAGCTTTCTGTGCTTGAGAATAGGGAAAGCATGGGGCTCACGATGGTGAATCAAAGACGGTTTCTGCTGTCATGGCACTTACTCTGAGGTTGATCCAGGCTGGGAAGCATATACGGAATTCATTCCCTAGTGAGAGACCTTGGCCTGAGGCCAGGGAAGGCTTTTCCAGAGAGGCCCAAGCTACACTTAATGACAAGGAGCAACGCTGGAAGCCCACAGAGTTCTTCCCACAAGAACTTGGTGTGATTTTAAGTAAATCACTTAACCGCTAAACCGTTGTTTGGACAACGCTAACAAAATGTTGCCACCTCCTGGTTGCTGGAAGATGAAATCAGTCAAGTATATTACTTATAAACAATGTAGGCAACACTTGTCTTATCTGTCGTGACTTCTTCACCCTGGCTGCCAGTCCCACAAAATTGGATGGGCCAACTAGCCTGGTCTTTGGCTACATTATGTTGGGGTATGTTGTTGTTGTTGTTGTTATGTGCCGTCGAGTCGGCCCGACTCATAGCGACCCCTCCTTGGGTTTCCAAGGCAGTTATCACTACGGAAGTAGGATTGCCCAACCTTCCTTCCGAGGAGTGGCTGGTGGGTTTGAACCGCCAGCCGTCTGGTTAGCAGGCAAGTGTCTTAGCCACTATGTTGGGGTATAAGACTTGGAATTACAGCAGTCATTTCCAACAATCTCATTCCTCATATAGAAAAGCACAGTTTAGAACAGTCCTGTACCCCATGCGTCACCTGTTACCCTGCTCCTCTAATATCTGCTATGCGCGCCACCTCCAGCCCGCAGCCCGCCATCCCCGCAGCGGGCGCAACACGTGCGACTCACTCCGGTACCGGGCCGGAGCCCAGAGCCTGCCACCCATCCCGGCGTGCCGCGCGCCGCGCACGTGACCCCGCCCCCTTCCATTGGCCCGGACCTGAGGGGCAGGACCGCCGCGGCGCGCGAGCGAGCCGAGCCCAGCCTCAATTGACTGCGGGCTGCCTCCGGAGCGGCTGGAAGGTTCGAACTCTCCGTTGTACATTGGACGGCGGGCCTTGGGACTGGAGCCGTGGCCGCAGCCAGTGCGCACGCGCGAGAAGCCGGCACCGAGAGAGTGCGAGCCGGCAGGAGGGCGGCCTCGCGCCGTGAAGTGGCAGGTGTGCTGGGGCATCCCCGTCACGTGGCCGACAAGGGTGGGCTCCCGGAACCTGTAAGGGGGCGGAGCCCTACAGGCCACACCTCCTCCAGCGTACCACGAGCGGGCGGGGGCGTGGCCAAAGAGAATCATACCTCGTGAGGGTCTAGCTTGGGGAGGGCTCAGAGAGGTGTTGCACACCCCTCAAATTAGGAGAAATTGGGGGGAAACGCTCCCCTTCCCCAAGATCGAAGCACCCTGCAGGTTACCATGGGAATAAGAAATGGGCTGGCGTTTGTGAGAAAGAAGGCCCAGAAGAAGATGGACAGGTGCTGGACTCCCGTTAGGGAGACGCAGGTTGCAGTTGGAAAAACTAGAGTTGAGACGAGTGAGCCCAGAAGTCCTTGAGTTCCGGGCTGGCTCAGTCCCACATTGCTGTGTGGCCTCAGGCGAGGCCCTGCCTCTTTCTGGGCCTCCCTGTCTGTGAGAGGATAGGATTGCCCCTCATCCCCGTGGGCCATCAGTGATCCCCGGCCTCCCCTCTGGTCTGCCTCAGGATGGGACTCTCTGCCACTGTTCTGTTCTGGGGCTCCCCGGGGCTGCTCCTGGCCTTCGCCCTACACCCAGCCCTCGCCCTGCACCCACATCGGGACTACTGCGTGCTGGGTGCTGGGCCCGCAGGCCTGCAGATGGCCTACTTCCTGCAGCGTGCTAGGCGAGACTACGTGGTGTTTGAGCGCAGCTCGAGGCCCGGCAGCTTCTTCCTGCGCTATCCGCGCCACCGCAAGCTCATCAGCATCAACAAGAGGTACACAGGCAAGGCCAATGCCGAATTCAACCTCCGTCATGACTGGAACTCCCTGCTCAGCCATGACCCCCAGCTGCTCTTCAGGCACTACTCCCGCGCCTACTTTCCCGATGCCGGGGACATGGTGCGCTACCTGGGTGACTTCGCAGACAGGCTGGGCCTCCGTGTGCTGTACAACACGACTATTGCCCACGTCACACTGGACAAGGACGGACAGGCCTGGAATGGCCACTACTTCATCCTAACTGACCAGAAGGGCCAGGCATACCGATGCAGGTAAGGAACCCAGCCCAGAGGGGACCTGCTGAAGCCAGCTCCTTTCCAGAAGGACCTTGGTTGGCCAGTAAAGCGTAGTTGTCGTGGGAGGATGGGACATTTCTGCCAGTCCTTACTCCCCTGAGATTCAATTCTAAGAGGCTCATCAACCATCATTTCCCAAAGTGAGTCCTAAAAAGGGGTCTTGTGGTCAGATATTCCAGGATTTGTCAGTCTCTGTTGTTGTTGTTATTAGGTACTGTCAAGTCAGCTGCAACTCATAGCAACAGGAGAACGAAGCAGTGCCCTGTCTTGCACGTCCTCACAGTCGTGGCCATGTTTGACCCTATTGTTGGCAACCACTGTGTCAGTCCATCTCATTGGGGAGTCTTCCCCCTTTTACTCACCCTCTACCCTGCCTTCTCCAGGGACTGTTCCCTACTTTCACCATCTCGGGTCTAAGGAGCATTCTGGCTGTTTACTCATCCCCATTTTACAGATGAGGAACTGAGGCTCAGAGAGGTTGAGTAACTTCTGCTGTGTCACACAGTTAACGAGTGGTAGAGCTGAGATGGGAGCTCATATCTTCCAAAGCCTGTGTTCTTCCCACTGCCCCACACTGCCTCTCCCTTCCTGGCTACTAGTCAGGTGCCTGGCTCCAGGCGGGGGCTCATTCAGCGTTCATCTTTTCACACCTTTCCCAGCTGCCTTTTCCCTGTTACAGCCCAGGGGAGGAAGGGCTAGGCCAATTTAGACTCTTGCAGTTCAGGCAGCTGTGTAGGGGAGGCACAGAAATGGGCAAAGTGGAGAAAGGTCAGAGAACAGGAGCAGTAAGAGCTATCCATGTCCCTCCTAGAGCCCCTCTGGTTCCACAGTTAACCTGATCTGTGATCACACCGTTCTTCAGGCCAGCAGGACCCAGCTAACCAGCTGCTACCCACCACTGGGTTGCGGTCCCACCAGTAGAAAGAGCAGGACCTGGGAATCAGACCGATGTGTGTGTTCTGATCCTGCTGTGATGCTCTTAGGAGCTTTGAGGCCTCAGTGCCTGTGTCTCCTCCTGGTGTGTGAAACAGACCGGATACTACCCACTGCAAGTCGCTTGGAGGATTAAGAAAGATGAAGCATAGAAACACTTAGTACAGGGCCTAGGGCAGATAACTACTCAGCAAGTATCCCACTCTGCCAGCAAGTCAGAAAGGGGAAGGGACGTCGAGTCTTGTTTTCATAACTGAGGTTGACGTTAACTGCTGTGTTCACAATTAGCTGAATTGATTGATTGTTCCATGGCTTCGTCTTCTGCTCGGTCACAGAATAAAATTCATGCCTTGATCTTGGTAGAATCACAGTACAGCGTTAAGGAAAACGTATCCAGTAGATGGTTCAGTGCTCAGCTGCTAACAGGAAGGTGGGCAATTTGAGTCTCCCTGTGGCTCTGCAGGAGAAAAGACCTGGCAGTGTGCTCCCATGAAGAGTGAAACCCATTGCCCTTGCAGCGATTCCAACTCATAGCCACCCTACAGGACAGGGTAGAACTGCCCCATAGAGTTTTCAAAGCTGTAACTCTTTAAGGAAACACTGCCTCATCTTTCTCTCACAGAGCCACTGGTAGCACCTCCCAGTTAGCACACAAGCACTTAATAACTGCACCACCAGAGCTCCCCATAAAGATTACTGCCTAGGAGACCCTATGGGGTGTTTGTACTCTTTTCTGTGGGGTCTCTATGAGCTGGAATTACCTCGACAGCACACAACAGATTGAGTTCAGTGGGGGCAAAGGCAGTCTCTCAAGTATACTGGGATACGTTAGCAAATGGGTAAATGAATGAACATTGTCTTTTAAGGGCCAGCAGTTTAGGGGGCGGGCAAGCCAGCCAGGCAGGTTCAGAGAGTGGTCTTCCCCTTTCAAGACGCTAAGTCATCTTTGCTCTGTCTCCCACCCACAGTGTCCTTCTTGTTGCCACTGGTTTGTCAGTGCCCAACCAGGTGGACTTCCCCGGCTCTGAGTACGTGGAAGGCTACGAGTCTGTGTCCATCGACCCCGAGGACTTTGAGGGTCAGAACGTGCTGATCCTGGGCCGCGGGAACTCAGCCTTTGAGACAGCGGAGAACATCCTAGGCGTCACCAACTTCATCCACATGCTGAGTCGCTCCCGCGTACGGCTCTCCTGGGCCACCCACTATGTAGGAGACCTCAGGTACGCTGTGTGCCTGCTGTTCTGTTCTGTACTTGTTCTTGTTGCCGTTAGTTGCTGTCAAGTCAGCCCCTAACTCGTGGTGACCCCATGCATGATGGAACAAAACACTGCCTGGTCCTGCTCCGTGATAAGCTGCGGGCCAGGCTGTTGTTCTCATTGGCTGATTTTCAGTAGTAGGTCACCTGACCTTTCTTCCTAGTCTTAGTCTGGAAGCGCCACTGAAACCTGTTCAGCATCAAAGCAACATGCAGCCTCCGCCGACGGCCGGGTGGGGCTGTGCATGAGGTGACTGGCCAGGAATGGAACCTGGGTCTCCCACCCGGAAGGCGTGAATTCTACCACTCAACCACCACTGCCCCCTGATTCTGTATTCTGAGCCCACAATGTGGGAAGAGCCTCTTCTCAAAGTTCTTTCCTGAGCCCCACTAGGTTACCCACGCCTTCCTCCAAGTCACTTGTGTCCCCTTCAGACCCCTTTCACGACACACTCACATGTCTCTCCCTCTGGTGAGTGGCTTCCTAAGGAACTGTGTCTTACTCATTTCTGAATGCCCAGAGCTGAGCACCTTGCTAGGTACAAGGCAGAGGCTCAGTGAATGTTGAAAAATAAAAGGATACGTAGGAAGGAAGGAAGGAAGTCCCCAGTTGAAAAGTAAAACTTCTTCTGGCTAATAAGCTTTTGAGGTTCTTTCTGACCAAATCAGTCACTATCAGTCATAAAACAGTTGTTTCTCATTTATTGTATACGTCAGCCATAATTGTTGCTGTTGTTGTTAGGGGCCATTGAGTCAACGCCAACTCATAGAGATCTTAGGGAGTCTGAAATGTTGCCCGGCCATGTGCCATCCTGACAGTTGTTGCTGTGTTGGAGCCAATTATTAGAGCCACTGTGTCAATCCACGGCCCTAATTAGGGTGCTGAGGAGACAGCAAAAATAATAATAGTTGTAACTATAATAGGTAACTAAAATGGAGAAGGGCAAGATTACAAAGGTGCAAAAAGGGAAGGCCTACAGCGGCGTGAGGAGGGGTGGCATTCAGGGATGGTCTGAGGAGAAGTAGGAGACACCTAGTCCAGAGGGTGCCAGGCCCAGGCCACACAGAGGCCTTGAGATGGGAGACAAAGGGGGTTGAGGATTTGAAAAAGCACCAGAGTAGCTTTAGCAGATTGAGCGTGGGCTGCTAACAGAAGGTTGGTGGTTCCAACCCACCAGAGGCTCTGCAGGAGGAAGACCTCACAGTCTCCCTAGCAAACCCTTTGGGGCAGTTCTACGCTGCGACGTGGGGTCACTATGAGTCGGAATCGACGGCATGTGGCAGCAAGAACAACGTAGTCACAGATGAGATGGCCATTCGCACCCTGTGCAGTGCAGTGTCCAGGTCCCTTCATCCTTCCCTTGACCCCCGGCCTATGTGTTCTCTTTGGGCCCAGAGCCATCAACAATGGCCTCCTGGACACCTACCAGCTCAAGTCGCTAGACGGGCTGCTCGAGTCTGACCTGGAGGACCTGGCCCTCGTGAAGGACCACGAGGGCAAGCTTCACGTCACTCTGAAGTTCCTCCTGGAGGAAGCCAACCAGAGCGCCGAGGCCATCGCTCTCCCCCAGGACGACAATGACAACTTTGCCCTGCGCGTGGCCTACGACCGGGTCATCGGCTGCCTGGGCTGGAACTTCAACTTCTCCATCTTCAACAGGTGAGTCCCAGAGGGAACAGGTGGGAGCTCTTGGCACACCCTCTGACCCCGCCTGGCGGACAGAGTCGCCATTTAGTGGCCAGTGGCAGGGCTTCCAGGCAGCCCCCTGTGATGGAAGCATTACACGGTGGGGCAGAGAGATGGAAGGTGAGCTCGGACAGGAAAAAGGAGGTGAAGCTGCGGAAAGGCAGTGCAGCCTAGTGGCTAAGCACACGGGCTCTGGCGTCGGCCTGGGGTCTCTCCACTCACCACGTGCGAGCTCTGGAAAGTCACTTGCCTCCACTGCACCAGTCTTGTTGGCTGCTGTCAAGTCGGTCCTGACTCATGGTGAGCCCGTGCACAGTGGAGCGAAATACTGCCTGGTTCTGGGCCATCCCCGTGACAGGTTGTGGATCAGGCTATTGGGTCCATAGGGCTCTCATCGTTTTCAGAAGCAGATCTCCAGCCCTCCTTCCTAGTCTACCTCAGTCCGGAAGCTCTGCTGAAAGCCGCTGGGCATCGTAGCAATACGCACCCTCCACTGGCTGACGAGTGGTACTATTCGTGAGGCGGATTGGCCAGGACTCAGACCTGCTCAGAAGGCCGAGTTCTACCGCAGAACCTCCCCTCCCCAGTTTACTCATCTCCATCGTGGGTATAGTGATTTCCTTCTCATAGGGTCATGGTGAGGATTAAGGTAGGAAAATGCTTGGCATAATGGCTCAGTAAAATATTAGCTGCTAAGATTATTATTATTTCATTTCGAGAAAGTTACTTAACCTCTCTGTGCCCCAGTTTTTTCATCTGTAACACAGGGCTAATGGTTTCTTCCTCAGGGGACTGTTTGGACATAGGATGTAGGGAAGCTTTTGGCACGTACTGTGTGCTCCAGACGGTGTTAGCTGCTATTAAAATTAATACTTTAGTTAGAGGAACTGTTTGTGAATTCTAGTCTTTAGGCAGGAGCCCTGGTGGTGCAACAATTAAGCACTCAGCTGCTAACCAAAAAGGTGGGAGTTCAAACCCACCCAGCAGCTCCACGGTAGACAGGCCTGGCAATGTGTTCCTGTCGAGATTACAAACCCTGTGGGGCAATTCCGCCTCGTCACAGGGGGTCATTTTGAGTCACACTCAACTCAGTGGCACACAACAGCAACAGTCTTTAGACATTGTTGTCCTTGGTGAGGCGTGCTATCAAACCAGGCGCCCAGTCTCTCACTTTTCTCCTGGCCAAGGTGCAAGTGGACAAGGCAGAGCTGTGGGGGGCTGTATCAAATCCTCCTTTCCCAGCAGTACCCAATCTCCGTCCAGAGCCCCAGGCTTGCGTCCTGTTGGAGATGTTAATAGAGTTGTATGAGCTTCCTATTGCTGTTATCATGTGTTACCACAAACTAGGTAGTGGGTCTGTCCCTGACCCACTAAGTGCTTAACTAAGCCTCGGTTACTTTATCTGTTACCCACTGCCGTTGAGTCGATTCCGACTCATAGTGACCGCCATTGGGTTTCCAAGGTGGTAAATCTTTATAGAAGTAAATTGCCCCATCTTCCTTCTGCCAAGTGGCTGGTGGGTTTGAACCACCAACCTGGTTAGCAGTCAAATGCCTTAGGCACTGAGTGGAAGTAATTACATCCACCTCCCAAGTCACGGTGAGGTTGAAATGAGATCAGGAAAGTCAGTCGCTCGCCCCTTGTTGCCTGTGACACGTCCCCTCATACAGGCTCTTTTCCTGTAGCGTCTCTTTCCACTCACAGCTCCCTCAGACTCTCCTCGGGGGGCGCATTCAGCAAGAAGTACCCACTGGTCAAAGCTAGCTACGAGTCCAAAGGAAGCCGGGGTCTCTTCGTCCTGGGCACCGCCAGTCACTCTGTGGACTACCGGAAATCTGCGGGGGGCTTCATCCATGGCTTCCGATACACAGGTGAGCCCGGCCGAGCCCAGCTGTCCCCACACAGAGCCACCATCATGTCTCCAAGGGCTGTAAACACACTCCTGGTTTTCAGAAGCTTTAAAGGGATTCCTTTGTTTATGTAATTTGTTTTACTATGTTGTTATTCTTGAGATTATACGCAGCAAAACATACCCCAGTTTAACAGTTTCCACAATTTAGTGACACTGATGACATTCTTGGAGTCATGGGACCATCTCACCCCCCTTTCTGAGTGTTCCTCCCCCATCAGATAACCTCTCTGCCCCCCAGGTTCCCTGTCTAATCTTTCAGTCACTGTTTTCCTTTTGATCCCTATAGATAGGGACTTCCTATCAGTAGCTGATTGTCATAAATCCCCTGCCTGAGGCAGATTGTGGAGAGGATTTTCGTCATGGTCTGATTCGCCTCAGAAAGCATCAGATAAGGTGGAAAATTAGCTCCATCTGGGAGCGTTGGACGTGTGAGCCCCACGTAGGTTACACACCACACATTGCAAGAATGCAGAGCTTGAGGAATGCTGACGTGGGGCCCTGCGGCTGGGCGATGTTAGGGGTGACGTCCCGTAACTTCTCTAAGCCTCCAGCGGCTCTCCTTAATGTTGGAGATGTAAGCAGAGGTTGTATCAGCTTTCTATTGCTGCTATCACAAATTACCACCAACTGGGTAGCATAAAGTAGGACAAACTTACTATGTTACGATTCTGCAGGTCGAAAGTCCAAAAGGGATCTCACAGGGGTAAAACCACACTGTGAGCAGGGCTGTGTTCTTCTAGAGGCTCCAGGAGAATCCATTTCCTTGCCTTTCCCAGCTTCTCAAAGCTGCCAGCGGTTCTTGGCTTGTAGCCCCTTCCTCTGTCTTCAAGCCCAGCAGTATAGCATTTTCACATCTGTTCCTCTGCCTCTCCTGCCTCCCTCTTTCACTTACAAGCACGCTGCTCATTACACTGGACCCACTGAATGCTGCAGAATCCTCTTCCCATCTCAGGATCCTTATCACATGGGAAAGCCCCCTTTGCCGTGTAGTAACAAAGTCACTGGTTCTGGGGCTTGAAATATGAACATCATCTTGGGGGGACATCAGTCTGCCTCCCACAGAGGTGAACTCTTCCACCCTCACAGGGACCTCTATGAGGGCTAAATAAGGTAATACCTGGGTGGTCCAGCAGTTAACATGCTCGGCTGCTCCACCTCCGAAGAAAGTCCTACTGACCAACTTCCAGAAAATCAGTCGTTGAAAACTGGACGATCTCAATGCCCGTCAACAGATGGATGGATAAACAGAATGTGGTACATGCGTACCATGCAATATGACGCAGCCAGCCGGGGAGTGAAGATACCTACTGCAATATGGATGGGGCCGGAAGGCATGCTGAACGACTTAAGTCAATAACAAAAAGACAAATATCCTGTGACCTCATTAATGTAGAGGCAAGAAAAGCAAAAATATAGAGAACAAAGTTTATTAGCGGTTACTGGGCACAAGAAGGGGGAAGAGTGGGGTAACAGAGAGAGAGTGGAAGTTAAGTGTGGGTCGACTTGGCTGGGCCTGGTTGAGTGGCTGGGCAGCTGAATGTAGTTTTATTCCCCATGGTGAGATTGGTAATTGAATCCATGGTGGAATCTATTGGAGCAGCTGAGTAGCTGTTTAGGGATGTGATCTGCTTCCCATATGTAAGCAGCAGCTTTGGGAACAGTTTATAGTTTATGGCACACTGGAGCCCTGCCTGTAGTTGTGTTGTTGCTCAGCAGCCCACCATGCTCTGCTGACTTGGGACTTTCCTTGGACTTGAGTTAATGACCTGCCATGTGGTTTGGTAACATCAGGACTCTGCCTTTTTACTTGTCAGTCTTGGACTTGTTAGCCTTAGCAGCCAGCAGCTGTCTGAGTAAAGAAAAGCCTCTAGCTTCAGTGGGCAGGAGCAGGAGGCAGAGCTGAAGCCCAAGGCTAAGGGGCTTTCACCCAGCCCCTGGAGCCTGACACTTTGAACTCGGACTTCTAGCCTCCAAACTGTAAGAGAATAAACTCCTGTTTGTTAAAGCCATCCCATTTATTGTATATTCTTGTCAGAGCAGCACTCAGTAACCACAACAGATGGAATACATTGATGTAGGGTGCAGTTGTACAGCCAATTATTGTCATTGTTGTCAGTAAGTTGTACACTTGTAAAAACTTGAATTAGCAAAAGTTGTGTGACAGATACGTTTACAACAGTGACCAAAAAAAGAGTAACTCCTAAGGCTGCTTATGTACAACCAAAAGCTTCATGGGATTTGGTTTTTTGGTTTGAAGGTTTAGAGATGGTTTCCTGGGACATCCCAGTTAATTGTCCTGATAACATGCTTAGTGCTTCTGGTCTACCTCCTACTTCATTGCATAGTGCCTTGGTGCCTGAGGTCTTAAAAGCTTCCAAGCAGCCATCTAAGGCACAACAGAAAAGAACAAACCCACTGTCATCCAGTCGACTCCAACTCACAGTGGCCCAGAGTAGAACTGCCGCATGGGGTTTCCAAGGTTGTAAATCTTCACAGAAGCAGACTGCCACATCTTTGTCCCACAGAGCATATGGTAGGTTTGAACTGCCATCCTCTTGGTAAGCAACTAAGCACTTAACCAGTGTGCCACTCGGGCTCCTCCAAGGCACAACTGGTCTCTATTCACCTGGAACAGAGGAAAAAGGAGAGTTTTATGTTGATGGGGGAGGAACGGCTCAGAAAAGGAGGGTGAGGACAGCTGTGCATCTCGGGAATGTCATCAGTATCACTGAATGGTGCCTGTAGAAGCTATTGGGTTGGTGTATGTTTGTGGTGTATGTATGCTGAGTATATATTCTCAAAACAGAATAATCAAAATTTAAAGAAAAGAAAAAAATACCTACAGAGCATACTTCTCCCCTGACACCCACAGGGTCCTTGTGACCCCCCCCCCCATCAGCTCACTGGTAACTGGCCATGCAGCTCCCAAGTACCTGCACACGTAGGCTCTTTGTACCCACAAACCCCAGGGGAAAATTGCAATGAGATCAGATTCTTTTCAAAATGGTAGGTATTCAGAGTCTGAATTTTCTGCTGACTTGTAAATGTTTGCCTAACAAATACCAATTTTTACAAAAATGCTTCCATGTATTGCATGAAATTATCCCTACCCAGCAATTGTTGCTGTGAGATTTCAAGGGTAAATGTGGAACAAAATCTTTCTATCAACAGAGAGAGCTGAGTTCCCCCTTGTTAACTATCATCAGTGGGCCAGGTGCTTGGAACACACATGTCCCGTCCATGCAGCCCACATGCCATGAGGTGGCTGGGAAAGCATCGCTTTTCAAAGAGATCCTGAGGCTCAGAGTTTTGCTGACTTCCTCGCTGTGGCGGGACTTGGACTCTAAGCCCCAGGCTCCTCAGAGGAGACTTCCTACGAGGCTTTTCCATTCTCCCCTGAAGGTTCACCAGCACCCTCTCTGTCAAGAGTACCCATCAAGGGTTATGTTCGAGGAGAAACTGTGGATTTGCTGTTTCTGTCCTTCATCTCCTGGGAAGGAGGACACAGATTTTATTGAAACGGATTTAGTCAGATACGGCACGGTCAGTGAGGTGGGTCCATCTGAAAGAATGGAGCCCTGATAAGCTTATGGCTGATAATGGGAAAGGAGCCCTGGTGCTGCAGTGGTTAAGAGCTCAGCTGCCAACCAAAAGGTCAGCTGTTTGAACCCATCAGCCCCTCTACAGGAGACAGCTGTGGTAGTTTGCTCCTATAAAGGTGACAGCCTTGGAAACCCTGTGGGGCAGTTCTACTCTGTCCTATAGGGTTGCTGTGAATTGGAATCAACTTGACGGCAGTGGGTTTAGTATAACTGGATAGTGGGAAATCTGGAAAATACAAAGAATGGGGAACAGAACCCCAGCTTGTGCCACCGAAGACATTCAGTGTGACTATTTTTTCTAAATGTTGTATCATCTTATCCTGTAGGATCATAAAAAGTAGTGTGTATACATAGACATTTTGGAAAATGAAAATAATATAAAGGAAAGAAAATTGCTGTCATCATACTACTCAGAGAGCTTTTCCTTCTACCTTCTTTTTTGGGGGAGATAAAAAGAAAAAACACAGTTTTGTTTTGCTTTTTTTGCTGTACAATAAAAGGTAAGGCATGTATACAAAATTTAGGTGTTATCAAAAGTGCTAGTGCGACTTGTTTCTGTAGGTGGGGGAGACACCTCAGCCTCTTAGTGCAGTTACAGTGGACGTTGTGGTGTTGCACTGTTGTTTGGAAAGGACAGTTTCCAGCTCCTGTTGTTGTGGTTGTGTTGTTACGCATGAACTCTTTTAAACCAGCTCTGGAAATCAGATGCCCAAGGCCCCTGACTCCAAGCCTGCCTCTGGAATTGGGTGTGGGGGAAGGGATTAGAAAGTCCCACTCCCAGCCTCCCAGTCTCTACAAACAGGTGGCTTTCAGTTTGCTCAGTAGGCCTTGGATGGGTACATTGTTGCATGGTCATGTGATGTGGGCCATACAAACCATAAGGGGTCTGCATCTGTATTCATGCAATGCCTCCCATTGCCTCAATGCCACCTTTGCATTCCACTCCCCTTCCAGGTTGGCAGGGGATTGTGTTGATTTCCG